ATATCTAGATATCGTGACTGAAAACACAAATTTAGAAACATGACACAGATCTACCGACACTGTTTATTATTTTAGAGTTACTTCCCTTAGAATCTAATTCGTATTCATAATGGTAAAGACTATTTGACTGTTTATGTTAAGTAATTTACCATATTGGAAACAAATTGTCTTAAAAATATTGGCATAGATTTGTTTTATATTTGTTTACAGTTACTACATGTAAATGTGCTTCCTTCGCACGACCTCATTCAGTTACAGGTTCTCGGCATTTGCCATATCTTGTGATTGTCCTACCTAGCATGGGTATACGGTAAATAACGGTCTGTTGACCACTGTTTACTGTCTGTCCCTGAACACAATGTACAACAAAACAATCACCGTTCTTCTTTTTTGCTGTAGAGATGATTCTACCGACTACCCGTTGAAGGAAGCACATGTGCTTTTGTTTACCTCTGTAAAATGTACGCTTTGTTGTTTTTCATTTCATAGAGAATTCTACACGGGAGATCACTCTCAATCACAGTTTTATAAGTGAATAAACCCATGATATAAACCTTTTTTTCTCCGGATAACCGTGACTTGCCAATGTCCTTAAATGAAATATCATTTTTATGATCAAGTAACAAGTTCATTTTTTTAAGAAACAGAAATGATCTTTTCTACAGCACACAGCTGACCGGATCTACGGTTTTTCTTCTTTATTTTCTTTCTTTTTCTTTTTCTTTTCTTTTTTTTTTTTTTTTTTTTTTATTGAAGATGCTGATCATTACTAAAATTGTCTCAAAATATAAATTGATTATTGAATTGAAAATCTGTATACTTTGAGAGGTAAAAACAAGTAAGTTTTTAAAATGGGTACTGCAATCCATTTAAAGACAATTATGACAATCAAACAGTATATTTTTTTGTTTAATTAAAGTAAAAAAAATTATGAAATTAGATAAAGGAATGAAAATTATTTGCCCCTTCTTTCTCATCCCTCCCCTGCCTCCTCTCCTTCTTAATCTTTTCTTAATCTCTTAAAAATGCTTTCACATAAAATTAATGCTTTCACATAAAGACATATTTTCTTCTTGTCTTGTATATAACTGTAACTGGTTTTATTTGGCATTCATGTGATTGAGGGATTAAAAAAAGTACCTGTGTGAAGTTTTTTGCTACTCTGTTTATAACCCACATGTAGAATTTGACGAAGAGAATTCAAAATTAACAAAAGTTTGAGAGTTAGGACCATGCACTAACTTGCCACTTTTATAGAAAAGAACATTACCCCCCCCCCCCCTTCCACCAAAAATGTCTTATTGTGATGTTTTTCTTTTCCGTTTTTCAAAAAAGGTTATCAAATCCATGTGTTATACTTAAAATCTTACTGAAAATGAATATCCTAAAATACAGGAACTGATATTTTATCATTTGGTGTGTTGTCGCTGCATTAGAACTAGCAATATTTATACAGTTCAGTCTAATTTTGTGGACAGAATGTTAATTTCACAATACAAGTGAAAATAAGTTGCTGGTCATCCTAACACGTCTCCACATTAAGATGGATGATGAATAAAATTAGATAATGCATCTATGTCACCTGTTAGATCTTGCATATTCCAAATGTCAAAATATTTGTACTTGATGTACTGTTACGTGACTACGTATAACATATGACGTTGTCGAGTTAATAACACTATAAACGCAACATTTTGGCAATACATATGTATGACACCTTATAAATATTTTTGCAAAAAATCTAGCTAGACGACATATTAATTATTTTATTTTATATCAATAGTTTTGATTTTACCTCATCTCAGCATTTGAAATTCTTGACTAATTCGTCTACGTCTTTAAAAAGTTATCCAACTTTTTAAAAGATACACTTTCCTCAAAATTGGATTAAAAACGTAAAGGATGATGTGACATAACTGCTATCTGGGGCCCCTTTTTCCACGACGAATTATGTTGAATCTTCAACGATGTTGGTAGTTTTTAAGCACGAGTGAATAAATACGACGCCTTTTGAATCAGTTTCAATAGTTCAGACACATTTTAATTATAAGGAATACTGCATTATCTTTGATTTTTTAGACCCTATCACAGCTAAATTTGGCCAGGTTTGTGAGAATATTTTCTTTTCTGGCAAGAGAATGGGTGGTCTTAGTACAATAAAGGGACATGTGTGCCCGAGTAGACCTTATATGGCTATTGTTATTATTTCGCACTTAGTCATTGTCCAATCCGATGACAGAACAACAAAACATGCTGATTTACTACATTTACATTTTATCGCAGACACATGGTTTTGGTCAACTTTTCTACATTTCAAACTTTTATAATGGTCAGCCAGTGCTGTTTATACTTAATTATATGCATGGATTTTCAGCATTTACGGTTTTTAGGACAAGAAATGCACATGAAACTTGAATTCACCGATACTCGGGAATACGTGTAGACCTAGCGAATTGCTCACCAAACACGCTACAAAACTCTAAACTAATGTATATCATGTATATTCTATCAATTGTTTGTAACTGTATATAAATTTTACTGTGGTCTCGAAAATGGTACATACGTAGATCCGTGTCTAATCTGTGACTCAAATGCATAAAAAATATCTTAAAGCAGTAAAATTCCAAGCATGTTTCCATAGTATTTTTGTGGTTCTCACTCGTAACGAATTTCATTTAGCTGATAGGTCAGTTAGAAAGTATCGCCTGTGCCTCGATTAGCATATGGATTCATTCTTACATCAGAAAATCTAATTCCGTCGATAATGGGAAAGGCCAACTAGATTTTACAATTTTTTAAAAAATGGCACGTGAGCTCAGTTAGGTACAATTTTTCTCCTTTCACATATAGCTAGAATTCAATAAAATACAGTGACCAGACAAAGCAGAAAATCGTACCTATACCTGCGCTCGTATATTTTAAGGGATTCAAAGAGTGGGACGGGGATAAAGTGCAATGGGAATTGAATATAAACATGAGACCCCTACCCTAATAAAAGACCTATATCTTTCAAATCACGTTTCTATTTTTGTTAAAAATAGTATTCTATAAAGGTACACATATCAGTGATTAGTTACATACAAAAATTTGAGTAAAATATAGATATCTAATTTTTTGTCAATATTCGAGGGGCCGCAAGTCACCTCATCCTTTTCCATTTACATGTATTCCAATAGGAAAACGTAAAAATTCTACTTATAAGTATACCGAGTTTACATTAATATAGTATAACATTTATGTAGGCAAAAGTCAACAAAAATTACAGATAATATTCTAAAAAAAAAAAAATAAATAAATAAATAAAAATTTACATATATGTTTTCTTGCAATAATTTTGATGCAGTAAACCCGTGACCTACCTTCAAGTAAGGTCAAATGTTACAGTAAGATAAAATGCAATTTTTGTTCTGAAAAAATTACTTTCCAAATTTTTTTTCGGCAGACAGAAGTTGCTATCTCTCTCAAATTAAACCTAATCATTAACTATCTGTACAAATATCGACTTTATATATTCTAGTGACCTCAGTATAAATTAGTTTAACATTATCTGTGTAAGAAGTGTCACTACAGAGTGTGACACATCTCATTGGATGTTTTACTTACAAAATCGATTAAGGCAAATTGGTTAATTGTCACCTCAAAACTTGAATCCAAAAAAAAAAAAAAACTGGGTGACATCAGCATTCAAACAGTAATTCCCCTCATATACATAATATTATTATAACATCGTCTGCGTATGATAGTTATAACTCCAAAATGATTCAAGCTGCTACATATGTAGTACATACTCTGAGCACGATCATTTTCTTGTGACAAGTTACTGTCAGAAAATTTGATGCTACAAATTTCATCAAATAGGTTAAAGTGAGCTTTTTGAAAATCCATTGATCACCTAAATGCCCTCATCTGTAAATTCAACCATATTTCTGTGTCGTATTTTGTCTGATCTGTTTTATGCCATTTTAGGTCCTGCATTTATACTTTAATTAGACTAGAAAAAGAGAGTACCTTTTACTCCATCAAGGCTAAGGGTCCACTCCGGTTGTGACTGGTCGACAAGGAATCCCTTCCTTTTCTTCATACCAGATCCTATCTCTGATTTTTCCAAGGGTCTGGGTTTTTTTTATCAATTTTGTGTTTTTGATTTTTGTGATTAATTACTGATTGTCATATTTATTTTTGGATTCAACCCATCTCCTTCGAAATTTCCCAAAGTGTCGTACATGTAAAAGGGCTTCATATTTTTCGTTAACGATAATCAAGTTACTTTGTCCAGGATTATGACTTTTTCTCTAGACTCTTTATACTAGTATTATTAATGAGGGTTTTTTTATGTTTGCAAACTGTTGATGTTTTCTTTTCTTTTTTTATTAAGATCACATATATTTGTATTTAAATATATTAATGTAACCGACAACATTCTATGATTGACAGAATTATTTTTTATCATATATATCTACTTTTTGTATAATCGAAGAACAGTTAAGGAGGTATTTTTTAAATCATTAAATCATTGAAATATTTCAAATAATTTACCATTGTCTTTTTCAGCTGTGTTGATCCCTATTTCGGTGATATAAACTGTAGAAGATACATATCATTTTGACATTGTTCAATCTTCTTGGCATCTTATCTCAAGATTCCGAGCGTAATAGTTTGAAATTAGGAGGCTTCTACATATGATTTAAATTTTGTTAAAAAAAACCAACAAAATTAATACATAATGTACTTATTGAACGCCAATTTAAGATGTAGCTAAATAATGTTTCTTTCCAGAATAAAATAACTGATTTTTCTTACGTTTCACTTAATACAGAATATTGTTATACTACCATTGTTTTTTCCAACGTTGTTGACCGTTCTTTCGATGGATTGTTTTATCAAAGATAGACACGATTCTATCGAAAGGTTTTGCTAATGTATCTGTGATTTTCAATCGAAAGGTTTGGTCAGATTTGAAATACATCCACATATATGATGACAGTACTCATGTACATTACTACAACTGCAAAGCATACGACAAAGCGGACCATAATGAGGTTCTGGACATGTCAAGTTGCATTTATATCCCCAAAATCCAGGTCTGCACTCTATATATCACAATGGGTAAGAAAAATTATTCAACAAACGTCTGAAATATCTTGAAACGCAATTAAATGTATTTTTTTTTAATCAATTTCTTTAAGTTTCATCGAAATATCTACACAAAAGGTTTCCTTTAGTATAATAGTCAAATCTTACCAACACACATGTCATTTTTTTCTTCATAGTCTTTACAACAGAAACTTTCATTCCCTCTATAAAGAAAGGTTATCAATATAAAATGAGATTTGTTTTGTCTCGTATTTGCAGTGAACATTTGTTCAGAGTATATATTACCTGTAACATATGTTTTCCCCAATCAATGCAACTGCTGAAATGGCTGAGCAGAGGAAAATGAAGAAAATTTGCCAAAATCCATAAAATGTCACCGTTAATTTTGCAGGACGGCACATCATCCTTATAATATGGATTTACACTGTGACTGTTTAGTGAATACTGGCACTGAAAGTACTCCGATGTATTGCGGAAGTTGCAAACCCATTTTGTAATTTTCATGTAGTCGCCCATGTGACAGAAAACAACAAAGTATACCATGATTACGGACTGACTCTTAAAAATATGAAGATTAAATAATATATCAGTAATACATCAATTCAAATATAAAAGTCGAATATTTGTTTCTTTCTTTATACTTATAAGAATTCCAAACACACGTTCCTAATGATGATAGTTAAATGTAATTGTAGTCAATTAAAAGGTTTCAGATAAGAAGAAGAAAATCCCAATGATACAATTTAGGGGTATATGTAATTTGCATTCTATACTTATAAACATTTTACGGTAAATCATACAGTTATGTTATATGAAATACATGTAATATATTTTCATTCAATGCATTTTATTTTCAAACATATACAAACAAGTGGGTTTTTTTTCTAATTCTGTTACCCCATGCACAAAAAAAGGAAATTTTAATGATTTTTTTTTTTAAGTTTAAAGTTTTTTTTTTTTACATTGTGGATTATAAATTTAAGCAAAACAAAACATAAGTTTTATATTATCTTTATTCATTTATTTATTTATTTTTGTGTGTGGCATGGGACCTCGGTTTATACGGTCTGATCTGAAGCTTCGATCTCGACGTCCGCCTAGAAGGGAGCAAGATGTAAGTTGCTCTATGGTCACTTACCGTGGCGTCTATTGTTTGAGTGCCCGATTTGTTGTAAATTTGTTGTAAAGTTCTGCGACACATTTGCGCAGAGAGCTCTGCGCTAGCCCCCCGCTCCGGAGACGACCCCGCATCTGGATTCTAATGCGCGACCTAAGAGAGCTTTTTACACGCCACTCTAGTTTAGTACAAACTGTCTAACCACTGCGCCACGCGGGCGATAGGTGAGTTATATAGATATCATGTTCTTGAAATAGCTTGTACATGAAGACAGTACTGGAAAGATAGTCATGGAAACAAATCACTGAGTTTTCTATCCATCATTTTCTGTCTCTGGAAAAAAAATAATTCTTGATCAGAACGCCTCAGGATATACTTACCGATCTATTGCCTAATTAGGCAGTAAATAACTGAACTGTAAGAATTTATTTTTTTTTCAAATTTAATATTGAATTTCATATTCACATATAGTTTCTAATTATGCACCGATTTCGGTGGTCAAGAACTAAAGGGATATAAGGGTATTTCTCTCAAATATGATCCATAAAAAAGATCCATTATCTATATAATAGTGTGAAAAAAAGTTAAGAGGAAACGTATCAAAAATATAGAAAACAATGCACCATTTTCAGAAAAAAATATAAGGAAATAAAAAAACTTTTATAGGGTTGAATAATTATTGGCTGAGATCTTTGATATTGCAGTAATTTATGCTCATCTGCACAAGCCTTTCAGGCTCGGTGAATATTGTCTTCCTTACATGTATATAGCTTAATCATCATATTGACCACAAAAAGAGTAATGATTGATAAATGTTTTCCTTGATATTGAATTTCAACATTAGCCACATAAATTACACGTGTAATCGTTTTAATTATGGATTGATTGATAGTATAATGTTTAACGCCCCTCTCCAGAATATATAACATAGATGGAGACGTCTCGTTTTAATTAAAAATTAAAACTTCAATTAAGAAAAAGAAAGATTTTGAGGTAATAAGTTTCGTATATTTAAAATTAAAATTTATAATTTATTTTTCTAGTGAAATTCATTTAATGCCTAACGTTACCATATACTTTTATTATGAGAATTGCTTGCCAAATGGACTGACGTACGCACAGCTGCAAAAAACGAAATTATCGGAAGGGGGGGCATGTAGTGCATTTTGTTTGCTTCTGTGTTTACAGGTGACATGTTGCTGTTCCTTCTCCTCCCCCCATCCAGTAGATATAAACGACTTGAAGATTGAAAACGCAACAGTTTACTTGTTATATTTCTCTATAATTAATAACCTTTTTGTACCTTTTTCTTTATTGAATCAAATAAAATGTATAAGGACTGATCCAAAAATCATGTAAAATGTACGGTCAATATCTGAAATATTTTGAGTCATATTATCAAATATAATGTACTAAAAGATGCATAAAGATGTATGAATTTTATCAAAATTGAAAATTTCAATAACAAGAGGCCCATGGGCCACATCGCTCACCTGAGAATCTTTGACCATTCTGTTTTTTTTTTTAACCAGATTTCCCCCTTGTAATACATATTGTGACCCCACCCTACCACAATGATAATAATTTAAACAATTTGATATCTACACTACCCCAGGAAGCTTCCACATAAGTTTCAGCTTTTCTGGCCCAGTGGTTTTTGAGAAGAAGATTTTAAAAGATTTTTCTTATATATTTCTATATAAAACTTTGATTCCCCATTGTGACCCCACCCTACCCCCGGTGGTCATGATTTGAAAAATTTACAATCTACACTATCCCAGGGTGCTTCAACATAAGTTTCAGTTTTTCTGGCCCAGTGATTCATGAGAAGAGGATTTTCAAAGATTTTTCCCTATATATTTCTATGTAGTACTTTGATTTCCCATTGTGGCCCCGCCCTACCCCCGGGGGTCATGATTTGAACAAACTTGAATCTACACTACCTGAGGATGATTCCACATGAGTTTCATCTTTCCTGGCCCAGTGGTTCTTGACAAGAAGATTTTCAAAGATTTTTTCTTATATATTTCTATGATTCCCCATTGTGGCCCCGCCCTTCCCCCGGGGGTCATGATTTGAACAATTTACAATCTACACTACCCCAGGGTGCTTCTACATAAGTTTCAGCTTTTCTGGACCAGTGGTTCTTGAGAAGAAGATTTTTAAAGATTTTTCCTATATATTTCTATGTAAAACTTTGATTCCCCATTGTGGCCCCGCCCTATCCCCGGGGGTCATGATTTGTACAATTTAGAACCTAACACTACCCAGGGTGCTTCCATATAAGTTTCAGCTTTTCTGGCCCAGTGGTTCTTGAGAAGAAGATTTTTAAAGATTTTTCCTATATATTTCTATGTAAAACTTTGATTCCCCATTGTGGCCCCGCCCAACCCCCGGGGGTCATGGTTTGAACGATTTAAAATCTACACTACCCCAGGATGCTTCCACATAAGTTTCAGCTTTATTGGCCCAGTGGTTCTTGAGAAGAAGATTTTTTAATGACCCCACCCTATTTTTGTCTTTTCTTGATTATCTCCCCTTGTGAGGGGACTTGGCCCTTCATTTTCACAATTTAAAATCCCCTTCAACCAAGGATGCTTCGTACCAAGTTTGGTCAAAATTGGCCCAGTGGTTCTTGAGAAGAAGTCGAAAATGTGAAAAGTTTACAGACGGACGGACGGACAGACAGACAGACAGACAGACGGACGGACAGACGGACGGACGACGGACAAAATGTGATCAGAAAAGCTCACTTGAGCCTTCGGCTCAGGTGAGCTAAAAACTGTTTAATTGGATTCAAACATAAAGGGTGTCTCCGCGTCACAACTAATGCCTAGGTCACATTTAAGCCGATGGTCGCGCGACTTAAATTTTTCTGGTCTTGTCAGCTGAAAGAACAGGATCGGCCGACACAGTATCGGGCGACACGGAGCAGTCACATTATTTCCTAGGAACAGGGATGACTTGGATAAATAACACAAAAACTTTTTTTTCTTTAGAAATCAGCAATATTTTTCACAGATCTATATTCAGATAGGTGACGTGAGTTATGTTAGCAAGGCAAAGTGGCAGAAACTTATAAAATTGTGACTCAATGCAAAATTTGTATGGAATTGCATAAAAACGACAAATGGTGCATATCTAAGCAGCAAAGACTGCTTAAGATTTTTCTCTATATCTTACGGATTAATTATTTATGTTATTTCCTTTCAAAAAAATTATATCAATCCATGCATCAAAATTTTGTTTGTGTTATGTATCATTAATAGGTTAAATATTCACAATCATCGAGCTCTGAGCTACAGTTTGATTTTAACCGTCGGTCGAAATTTTCAACACCTTTATTGTCCAACGACGGACGACCGACTTAATAAACTGACAGCCGATGGTTGGACGATGATCGAAGTTTGGTCGACGGATAACTGCACTTGAAGAAATCGGCCACCGACGCATGAAAAATTATAACTTGGACCGATGGACACGATATTGGTCGGCCGACAAAAAAATAGGTCAAAATCGGCCAAGACAACGGCCGATGAACTGACGACTGCCATTTTTGCTTCAAAACCCGTCGGCCGTTAGTCGTTTTTGGAAATGTGACTGAGGTTTAAACGTCACGTTTTAAAGTGTATATTGTTAGAATGGAAAAAGACAAACACATTAAAAAGCACCTAAAAAGCGTCTAATCGATCAATATTTTAGAATGCAAAATTTTACATTTTCTAATCTTAAGTTGAACATAAAATGATGTCATTGTTTTTTATAAAACAAAATAAAAACATTGTTTTAATATGCTGTATTGAACAAAGGAAATGTCGAAATGAAAAGAAAAAAAAACTGAAACGAGCTGCAATGCGTTTTGGCTTCAAAATGAAACTGTTTGTTTTATTTTATGCCGATGATACTGTAATTCTTGAGGAAACTGCTGAAGATCTTTAGAGAGCATTAAATGAATTTTGCAAATATTGTGAAAAATGAAAATTATGTGTGAATATAAAGAAACAAGATACAGTGTCATAGAAGTAGTCAAGGATTTGAATTATTTGAGGATTTTATTTTCTCGTACAGGCTAGTTGTGTAAAGCAAGAAAACACCTAAGCGAACAAGCACCAAAGGCGATGTATGGTGTGATAGTAAAATTAAGCATATAATCTCCCCTTCGAATGTCAATTGAATTTGTTTGATAAAGTAGTTTTACCAGTATTGTTATATGGCTGTGAAAAATAGGGTTATGAAAATATGACAAGCCATGAGAATTTTGGCCCAAATGAGGTACCTGAGAGAAAATGAGATTTTTATACTATCTAGTAGAGATGACCCCCAGTAACAACTATCTGTTGTTTTTTCTTTGATATCCCTATTCATTGTCAAGAAAATTGGACTTTACTAATTGGTTGTTATGCGCCCGGATCGGTAGATCAGGAGCGCATACTGTTTTTGTCCTGTCTATCTTTAAATGTTAACCTTTGCCATAACTTTTGAACCATGAGAGATAGAAACCTCATATTTGGTATGCATATTCCAGTAACCAAGCTCTTTCAAATGACACCAAGGCCAATGACCTTGTGACCTTGACTGTGACCTACTTGTATTTGCTAAAAATAGTCTTTTTTAACCTTTGCAATACATCTTTAACAATACGAGATAGAAACTTCATACTTTCTATGCGTACTCCACTAAATTAAGTTTTTTCAAATGACACCAAGGTTAATGACCTTGTCACCTTGATTGTGACCTATATACTAAAAATAGTTTTTTCAAACTTAGGGACCACTGGGTACATAGTGTTTCATGAACACATCTTGCTTTATCTGATATTGGTGATTTCTGCGACTTTAAAGTTACATAAAAGCAATGAAGTAACACAATTTGAAATAGATGTCATTTCATTCTGAAACACATATTGTTTGATCAAATTAATACAACAGAATATAACAGTTTTAAGAACTAGATAAAATCAAACTCTTAACATCCATGACAGCATGTAAATTACATTGATTTGTTACAATGTTCATTTGCACATTTTCTCTTTCCTAATTTCACTTTCTGTTCAACTTTTATGGCTGATGGTTTTGGTACACTTGGGCGGGGACATGCCTCATGACTGGCACAGTATGGGGCCACCTCGTCGTATAAATACCACTGTCGCTGTGCGTCAAGGCCACATGCTTTAATAACAGTTGGAAGAGAGGCATCCATGTTTGGAAACCTGAAATCTTTGTGTTTCAGGATGTTGACAGTAATTTCTTCATCTCCAGCATACTTTCGTAGATGGACTACTCCAGGATGTTCATGTGTCATGCTGCAAAAGTCAAAGATGTTAGATCTTCCAACATATATTGTTTTTTTTAAAATATATTTATCGACAGCTTAATGCAAAAGATATTGAAGGAGCACAGTCATGGCAGTTAGAATTAGTTAAGAATTTCTTTTCAGTTCTGTTTTTAGCAGCATACATGTATACAAAAATTTTCAAAATTCAATGCTAACAGAATTCATAACCTTATCATGCTTATACTTAAAATTTGCATTTGTCAACATGGGCTTAAATCTGATGTATTTGGTGTTTGCTTTTGGGGATTTTTTTTTTTTTTTGTATACATGTTCATGTAATTTTTTTTAATTTGACAACATAAAGATTTTTAATTGAGGGATAAATTATACAAGCATAAGAAAATAAAAGAATATATGACAAACAAACACCAAATATATATATTTAATAAGATGATCAGGTATAAAGAAAAATACTAAATTAATTTTGATGTTTTGGTCTGAAATTTGCTGGTTTTACTAAAGTCATGAAATTCAGACCAAATTAGATAAAATGAAAAAAAAATATAATACCATAGAAGTACTTTTTTCGTATGGTATTAATTTACGGTATGTACGCGGTCACAAATTTTTCACGGAAATTTGTCCAAGCATACTTAATAAACATGTAAGGTATATATAGGGACAGTTAAGAAATCCACATGATTTTCTACCTGCAGATTAAACAAAAATCAAGATTCCACAGAATTATGACAGCGTGGAAAAAAGTATGTCTACAGTATACTTGAAGATCTTATCTATGCCTCTCTGTGCATTTGTTGTTCTGTGATAACTCAACCTCCAATAAATTAATTGCTAAAAAACACAGGCAATATAATGCATACCGAAAATGATGATACTGCTTGAGTTGAGGTATTGGCTTGAAGTACTGCTTGAGAAACGTGCTCCAGTCATAGAAAATGACTGGATACTGGGGATCCTATCAAGTGGGGAATTTATGGTTATTCCTAGATGAATGAGCAACGGATTTGGCCACTTCCTCAAGATTCTCTGCAGTTGTTCCTCGCCATTTCACCTTCCAGAGCCCAAAATGCCAGTCGGGATGAAACTTTGTGTGGCCTGCCTCCATCAGAGAAAACTCAATGGTCATATGTCTGCCGGTCATAACTCGCCACATCCCATATCTACAAGACATTCTTTTAAAATAAAATTCAAAAGAGACAAGATCTCTAAATGCACTTCTAAAGAACTTCATTATCAGAACTAAACTAATCAAAGAGAACAAATGAATTGAAAATAATTTTGCCAGTGTATTTCATTACATGTACCACATGTAAACATGGATGTATTTGACATGAAGACACCTATTGTATTAATTTTGCAAAAATACCATCCACACAAATGGTAGTTAAAATATAGACAGTTGGATTGGAAATACATACCCAATAACAGTGTTGTTTTTATTTTGACCAGTGCAGTTGTCCATATGGAGTTGTAAATTCATTTCTCCATAACCTTTATGTTGAAAATGGTGGTGAATCATACTGGCAACAGAGTTGGCCCCCTTTCCAGAATGCTGAGACTCATCAATCAAGTAAAATATCTGTGATCCTGGATAAAAGTTCACAAAAAAATGTTTGCACTGAAAAAGTTAATTATTCTTTTACTTCAATTTTTTTTTATGAAAAGGTGCATTTCTAAAATATAATTCTAAATTTACAGGTTGCATGTATTAGCCAATTAAATGCACTGCCTAGTCTGTTTTATAAATTAAATTTGTTAGACTAGTAGTAGTAAACTTGTACATGAATCTATAAATTTTATTTTCTATCATTGAACTAAAAGAGTAATGCTAAAAAATCAATTAGACTATTGTAGTCTTGTGTTTGACGTTCTAAAAAATTACCTGAACCCTCTGAACCGATTCCAAAACACTGGCATTTCCGTGGGGTTTTGAAGAACAAAGGACCAACCTGTTGCGCATAATGTGGATAATGTATTTGCTGGGCATAATCAAAACTGTAATGTTGAGTTCCCTCCAAAGAACAGATGGGCTGACCTAGGGAAAATATCAATAGCCAATTGATTAAGAAAAATCACTAATTTAACAGAACTAATGCATAAATGATTAACTAATTTCAAACAATATTACTTGAATCATATAATAAATTGTTACCTCTGGTTTTTCTCTCATTTGGAAGAGCAGAAAAGCTAGTTTTAGAAACTTCACATTGCCTTCTGTAATAATCCCTCTGCATCTTTGATTTTTCAACATGAGCTGTGTATTTCTCAAGATGTTGCTCCTTTTCCTCTTCTGTCATCATGCCACCATGAACCAGGATATTCGCATAGGATTGGCATTTATAACATAGGTCTGTTGAAGGCTTGCTAATTAGAACATGTGGACATATATTCAGCCAAACTCTTTTAAATTCTGACAAACATATCTTTCTCAAATGTAGACTCTCTGCAGCTAACAAATAGTCCTGATGTATATCAGCCTTGGTCTTATCAGAGTGCAACACTTTAGCTCTACTATCTCTTTAGTTTGGCAGTCTTCCTGGTAACGGTAAACCTAACTTGTTTCCATAAGATGTTAGAAAATCTTTTACAGATTGAACATCATTTACAGTGAGGGCATGCTTTGGATGTTTACCAATGTTTCCATGAATTCTAGGAGCGAGTCCATCCTTATCAAGGGAACGAGCAAGCGCGTCCACCGTCTTCCTATAAACTCCATGGCAAAACGCAAATGTTTCTCTACACACTTGATGTCCATTAAAAAAATATTCTTGTCTGATTCTCTCCCTTTCTTTTGATCTATGTTTCTTTGCACTAGTAACTTTGTCATTTCGCCGATGGTGAAATAATTGCACTTTGATCATCATATCTAGTTCCTCCTTGTTCATTTCCAGGCACGTGTTTCTGTATTCAAGCAAAGATTCTAAATCGACGACCTCACTACATGGTTTTCCGTAGAGTCGAGAACAACCGCATGTTTTAGAATTAAACTTTTGAAATTGGTCAATTTCATTCTATCTACCTCACTCTGCTCTTATTGGTACTAAATTTTCTCGATCTCCTATTTCTCCATCGCTTTCATTTTCGTCAGAGCTCTCTGCGTTATCAGAGTGATATTCCGGGTCGACATCCGATGTGTTTGACAAGTTCCAAATATAGGTCATTCACTCGATTTATTTCGTTTACAAATTCTTCATCTTCGTTTTCTACTATTTCCGGGGGGATTGTACTTGCATTAGAAACTGCACTTGACTGGCTTAGTTGGCTGCAGCTTTCCATTCCGGCGATTCTATTCAGTTTAAATCTCCCTCATTTCTCGAGACGCCATGATTGTTTACACCAACAACTCGGAAACTAAAGAAGAGTTAGTCTTACGGGGAATAACTCTAAATAATCTCGATTTTTTTCCCTCGAAAACTTTCAATAATACTTAAATCAAAATAAGATCGATTTTCTTATTATTTTTGTTTATATAAAAAAGTCTTTAAACATTACACAATTTAAATTCATCCTGCAATTATTTTAACAAGTGCGCGAAATTCACGCTTTTTTGTAAACGTTGATTGTGACGTTTTTTTCATTATTACGTTTTGCCGCATTTGGGCCAAAAATCTCATGGCGAGTCACATATCGATATTATTGAACGAGTACATTTTAATTATTTAAAACATATATGAATTTGAAAAGTAGCACTCCCAAGTTATATGATTTATAAAGAAACTGGGAAGGTTTCCATTACACATAAATATTTACTCAAGAATGATAAAAATATTGGGCAAAACTTGTGAATGAAAAAGAAAACAAAATTGTCTAGAATAGTATATATGTATTTACATAAACAACATGATAAAGAGAAATGAAAAACTCATGGATATCATTTGTACAAAAGATTTTTAATAGATGTGGTTTATAAAATTATCCAATTGTAGTGTATGTGACCCCCCCCCCCCCTTTTAATTTTTATGTCATGTAGTTAGGGTATATGACATTCATTATTTAATCCACAATATAGTGTTTATTCATGCTGAGTCAATGACTGTAATATTTTACTGTAATTGTGTGAGCTTGGAGCGGGTTGATTATTTAATCCACAATATAGTGTTTATTCATGCTGAGTCAATGACTGTAATACTTTACTGTAATTGTGTGAGCTTGGAGCGGGTTGATTTTTCTATCAAATAGAGTCAATGTCTGTAATATGCTATCATGCTTTATAGTGATTTGGAGCGGGTTGATGAAGTTTGTTTATTCAAGAAGTTTTATTTTGTTTTACTATGAATGTGCTGTTCGCAAAGTTGTACCTAAGTTATGTAATTGTATTTATAAATACTTGAAATCAAGAGTAAATTGTAGTATCATAGTATGTTGGCAATGTAAACATGACAGAGATAATTCGAACTGAATTAGAGTTTGACAGGAGATTTGTAAAGTGGGTCATTTGTAGATTATAACTTACGTATATATAGCAACTTATTACTGTGCGTAAAAGTATGTGATTGTTGTTTGTTTAGTGTTACTTAATTGATTTGGTACCTGTAAACAGTCTAAACTTCTTTTGGCACATGTTTGACAGTTTTGGAACTCTTCTATACGATGTACTTCCGGTTTAGAAACGTGTTAATCTATTCGATAAATTGTTCTCCTATTGATTGTATAGTCGATAAATTTATTCAGTATAAATGGTTACGAATGAATGTATTTTGAGATGAATTATGTCACGTGGTCAAGCTGGCTTTCTCCAAGAATCACACAAGTTCAATAAGTTTAATAAATTTATTTACAAAAAAAAATAATAATAATAGCAAAAACCTCACACCATCTACCGCACTCTGATCCACACCCCTTGCTCACTATTAAAAAGTTAACCAAAAAAAAACAATTATCTTGGTAACCAATTAACAATCAACGACACATCTACCCCGGGTATATATCTCAGTTATCAATCAATGTCTCAATTTTTGAATTAATGCCAAACGTTTCCCAATGTAGTGATCGTCTCCGTATCATCGATCATCATCCTCATCGTCATCATCACCATCATCATCATGATCATCATATACATAAAACCATGCATGTCAGGTTTGCCACTAGCAGGTTGGGCACACGCCCCCATTTGGTTGATCCACTCCCGTTTGGTGGTCAATCAACCAAATCGTATACATTGTTAACTGACCAAATGGGAGTTACTTTTCGTGTTTTTCGATTTACACCTGCTTTTTAACTCGGCGCACTAAGATGACAGGAGTGGTAAGTAATTTAGGTTCCTCGTGTCTTTAAACATAAAAAAATGGAACATTGCATGTGGAAATTTGTGCGCCTGGGTGTGCAAATTTCAGGTATGCTAAGTAAAATCCTGATTATGGCCATTATTTTTGCATAATATTACCTTACAATTAATCCAAATGCTTCAAAATTCACATGAGGAGCCCCTTCTCCAAACATTCTACTTTCGATTCCAATTATCCGGGTTACTTCAAAACAATTGTAGCCAATCAAATCTCTTGATCTATATAAACTTCGGTCGAAAGCTCAAACTTTAATACGGAGCGCCGTTTGTGTAAATTTTCAATAAATGCATTCTCTATTCATTTTTTTCATATTGTGTAGAAAAAAACTACAAGAGGTGGCAAAGTAACCATTTTAAGACAAATTAAAAAAAGAAGGACCCCACCAAAATATTAACAGACCAGAAAAAGATGATACGCTCCTTCAACAAACGAAAGGATACACTTCTTGAAAAGGTGTGTATTCATTCAAAAGCATGTTCAAGACATCTTATATTACATAATTACACGATCAGAAACACTTTTTGTTTTAATTCCAGCTTTGTTACTAACCGCCTAATTAAAAAAACGCACCGAAATTTTGATTAATAACTCTTTAATAATCATGGTAATGGAATCATAAAAATCATTGAAAATGTAAAAAAAAAACAAACAAACAAACAAACAAAAAACAAAAAAAAGCATATATTTATGAACATGCATTCAAAGTTTTTAAAGAGTTATATCAAAGTTTAAAAAATCATATCATTAAAAAACAAATATGTACATTCTTAAAAGGTGTCATAGTTTTAAAAGATTTTTAACATGGCACAGGTTCAAGATATATATACAGCAACTTCAGCAGAGGTTTCACTGACAATGAGGGCACCTGCTTCAGGAATAGTGTATGAATATTCCAGTCCAAATTTCAAAAAGGTACAACTGTGAAAAACTCTGTCATCTATACATTTGATTTAAATAAATATTAAATTTATATACATGTACAACAATGCAAATTAATAATAATATAACATAATTATGTACACAAGGTCGCGACTATTGAAACATCAATGTCCTGTGCGTCATCCTCTGCTTCTCCATCTGCCCCTGCATCGCCTACTTTGCCATCTTCTCCCTCTACGTCTTCTGCACATCTTACATCGGCTTCATCGCCAACTTTTAAAGAGGCCAGCACCCAAACGACAGAATCAACCTTCGGAGGAGATTCGGCTGACGAGTCTTGCTGTCGGATCTGTGGAGAGTCTCTATCGGAGAGCAAGCTGTGGGTGGGTTGTGAAGTAAAGGATTGCTCCTTCTGGAGGCATGCCTGGTGCATGGGGGTTACTGCCTTCCGAAAAAATGCTCTGAAAAATTTAAAATTTTTTTGTCCTAAACATTTAGGTGTTAAGAAATAAATGCTTGCTAATTAATTTTTTTTCTCAAGCGAGTAATTTGCAAAAATTATAGATATTCATACCTTTATTCTACATCTGACTCGCTCTGGCTTTCAGCATCCTTAATTTCATTTAGTTCTTTAAGAAATTCTAAAAGAACAGATTTTTTCAAGTTTTTCACTTTTTTCCATTTCTGGCTTAGTGTATGTGATTTCAATGTGTCCAACTGTGTCTCAATGTGTGTAGATATTTCAGCTTTTGTTTTGTTTGCGATGTTGGTGTGCTTTTCTCTGTGTTCTTGAAAAATAAATATAGGTGTGTGTTTAAGTCTAGATGAGAGTGCGTGTGTTTGTATGTGTGTGTAATGCGAGTCTTTGTTTTCTTGTGCATGTTCTGCAAAATGTAAGAATGCACTGTCTAAAGGTTTATTTGAGAGTGTAGTGAGTGATTGTTTTTGTAAATATTTACGTTCCCTAATTATGTGTCTAAATGCTGAGATTTCTTCACTAATGTCGTATGCGTATGTATATTCTGAGTCTTTATCTGTCAGCCCCATAATTGTCTGCATGTTCAGTCTGATCTGAAAAATATGAACAAAATTACTATATACAGTATAAAGTATATTTAAACTGTTTCTAAATAAATTCATTTAATCTTAGATGCAATGGATTTATGCATGTTGAATGGGGGGATACTTTTTTTCCATGATACATAACCTTTTGTTATAGAAAATGTACATTAGAAAAAAGATTTCTGAGTTAGGGCACCCCCTCCCTTTTAATTTTGTTCTCTGCATCTGCCCCCTTCTAAAACAATCCTACGTCATTACGATTTATGTGCATGATGTGTATATAAATATTTTTTACCTCGTCTAATTTGTCGATGTTTCTGCTTATGGTGAGCCATTTCTCGTCGGTTGGCAGGCCGGGGGGCATGAAGCTTTTGCTTTTGCGGTTGAGGTTCTCCAGAACAAAGTCCCCCCCTTCGCCTTTGCTCTCGTTCCCAGTTACAGTGTACGTCTCGTTTTTTCTCATAAATTCGTTGACTGCAGGAGGACACTGTATCCGAATTAAAGAGTCTCTGACGAAAGCCTCCATGTAAAATGGCATGTTTAAGCCAAAAAATAATGGGGAAAATTTAGACCTGCTACAAAGAATGACCTCTGTGTTGTTGCGTCGTACCCCTGCTCTAAACACATGAAGTGCTAGACTGTGGTCAAAAACAATCTTCGCCATCAAAGCTGCATTAGGGGTCTTGTTGCTGGCTAAAAACCCTTCAACGGAAGGCGTTTCTTTTTTTTCCAATGCCTGACGAACATAGGGCACAAGGAGCTCACCAGACATAGCAAAAAGGAATATTTCCAGAATTTGCCAGCTTTTATGGTGATCTGCAATATAAAATAAATCTATGTTTTGCGAAGAGCACATAGGCGTCGGAAGAGGGGGGGGGGGGGCTAAGCCTCTCCCCACCTTTTTTTTTTTTTTTTTTTTACAAATATATACATAATATAGGCATGAAAATAAGGGTTTACTTTTTTTGTTGGTTTAGCCCCCAAACCCCACTTTCAATTTGATTCCGACGCTTATGGAGCATTTTAATTTATGTATTTTTTTTTACAAAAAATATGATACAATTTTAAATTTTTTTAGTTTATAAATTCTATACCATGGGCAGCCTGGCATGCTGCAAGGGCCTTCGGACTCTTGAAGCCCAGCATTTTTGCGAGCTCCATTAAGCACACGTCCCAAAGGAGTTTGAAAAGGGCCTTCGTCATATTAATTTCAAAGTGGCCATGTCCTAAAAAAAATGTAGAATTTGCACAAATTTTGATTTTATTAAACAAAATTGATGATGATTTTTGCACATTATAATTGAAATTAGTGTAACACCTGCTAGCATTAAAATATCCCTATATTTCCTTCCTTCCTCCAAATCATTCGCATGTTTTGAAGTCTCAATATGGTTAATGAACTCATCTTGGTCATATTGGATACGACAAGTAGGGCAAATATACAACTCCTCCATGATCCTCGAGGCGAGAACGTAGGGGAGGCCGTCACATCCTACTGCCGTCCAATGTCGTGTCGTACCGACCTCTGCCTCCTCCAGGAGATGGTCAAGCACCTGTTCCCAGATAGAACATTTTATGCATCATATAATTTTTTTTTATTTATTTATTTATTATTTTTTGTATTTATATGAATTAAGGAATACTATACAACCTTCTCTACAGCCTCATACGAACAAGGGTTCTCAAAAATGGGTTCTCCAGCAAAAACCTTGCTTGGCCCTGCTTCATGGCAGCTAGGAATGAACGTGTATCTAAAAATAATGAAATTGATCTTTAGATTTATATAACTTGTGTCAATCTTAGTCTGTTTTACATTTTGTAGATTGGAGGTGAATGGGTGGGGTGGTGGTAAATGGAAGGCATGAACCCTGAACCTGACCCCCCAGGAATTGGCAAGGTTATTAAATTTATACACTAAAGCAAGAAAAAATACCATGGACCCCCTCGGCAAAACGCAGACCCCATGGCTAACGAAAATTTGTCTTAAATTGGTATGAAAGGTCAAATTTTTTAAGTATAAGAAGTCCCACCCCCCTTCGAAATGGGTTTTTGAAGTTTAAACGAGTTAAGTTTTATTTTCTTTTTTGCTTGTCAAGAAATTCCTGGGTTGTATTTTATTTGAGTGGAAAAAAAATTCTGGATTCGCACCTGGAAAGTGAACTGAATAATAATAATAAAAACATTTATTGAAAATATAATTTCTTTTACAATCGATTGTGTTTCAAATATATATCCTCGTTAACCTCTCGTTTGGGGGATCTATTTCCCGTGGATGGTCTTTTTTCTTGTCAACATGATCCTTCCATCCATCTTCTTCGGATTGTTGTTTGATTTATCTCATTGATTCTCTTAGAAATAAATCCATGTCTGAAATAAAAGTTTGAAATTATAAACGAGTAAATTTTGAAAATCTCTCTCTCTCTCTCTCTTCAGTTTTTACCTTAATTTACTGAACTCTTTTTCAAATAATATTTCTTGCGCTTTCAACTTTTCAAGAGAGTCCTTCTTCGCCTGTACATGGAAACTCTGCCACTTTGAAGGCGCAAGCTCTATGTTTCTCTGAATATCACTTCTGGGCTGCATATGAGCCACAGAAGTGATAACGGATGACTCCGCCTTGAAATCGTTCTTGACCCGCCATTTTCTACCAATCACCTTTTTAAAGATAAAATTTAAAAGTCGCAATAAAAATAATGACACGTGTAAAAAAAAATAATTTGAAAAAATTAAATTGAAGTAAAAGAAATTTTTAAAGACCTGGTTGTTATCAAAAAAAGATATAACATCCGAATTATCGGGGATCTTTATTTTCTCTTGGCTGTTGGCTTTTAGCCAGTTTAGTATAGATGTATAACTTCCGCTTGGTGATGCAGCACTAGCAACATTTACTCCTTCTTTGCTTCCTAATAACATAAACAATTCAATATTAGTAAATAAATAAATATAAATTATAAATACAGATGGATATAAAAAAATATTTTTTATTTAATAAAATCATAACAAAATGTTTAAAAATTTATTAAGAAAATATTTAATTGCGTGATTGTAAAATTAATAATAAAAAAAACCCACCTGTCTTAGTGTATATAAGAAGGGATTTAGCAAATGCAAGTGGAGCAACGAATTTGGTGTTTACCAGGTAGTAAACGCTGTCCACTGCACTGCTAATTACTACTGCTTTTTCCTTCTGATAAAAATCCCCCTCCTGCATCAAGCCTTTAAAAAAGGCAAGAAGAGGACCATTCCTCTCAGACATGTAGCCTATGAAAATAAAACGAAGAGGTTCCAAAAAATAATTAATTAAAATTATTTTTGAAAACTTTAATATTATTTATGAATTTAATTTAAAAAAAAAATATTAGAAATGCATAAAAATCTTACGAGCTGGATCAAAATGTTTTAACATGTCATCTTTTTTATAAATTGAACCGGCAACTAAACTGTCATCAAAAACTTTTAAAGATTCTCTTCTTCCTGTGAAAAAGAAAAAAATGGCGCGACTTCATGCAATTAATTTATTAATATGCCTTCCCTGTAATTATTTCAATGAAAGGTACGATGTACAGCCGACCCAAACGTCAGGCACGTAGTATCGGGGGGGGGGGGGGGGGGCTGCCCCCCATTTTTTCCGATAGCATTACCTTTACTATAGATTAATATAGAAAATGTATATTGAAAAGGTGGTTTGCCCCCCACTTGTTACCACAGTATATACATAGCAAGTAAATTTAGGAAAAAATTGGCAGTGAAAGGAAGTTTGCCTTGAAAAAATTTGGTCACTACCCCCCCCCCCCCCCCCCCACACACACACACGAAATAGGATTTTCGAGTTTGAGTAATTTTCCTTCTTTTTGGGGGGGGGGGGGGGCTACCGGCAAGTAAAAAAATTTTCTAAGGTTGCCCCCCCCCCCCCCCCCCACTTTCAAAAACGATGCTACGTGCCTGAACGTAATCATTTTTTTTTTTACATGATTAAAAAAATTAATAAACGAACCAATTGCACACATAATCATCTCCAATTCATCTTCTTCGATGACACCATTCTCAATATTTTGTACCATCTCTGCAACAATGGTGTTTTTTTTTCTTTTAGGGACAATTCTTGCCTGTGAGAAAATTGCATGGTCGTAGTCTTTTTTCAAACAAAACAAATCGTTTAAGGAAAACAGCAAAGGAGGGCGTATCTTTTAATTTCTGGATGTTTATGTATATAATTTGTTTTTTAATTCACATGAATTCGTTTTCATGTAACATTTTACTATATATGCATGGATGAAAATCATTTGAAAATAACAATACCCCCCCCCCTCTCCTTTTATCCCTTTTCATTCCTGTGTGAGTGATACAATATGGAAAATTAATTTATAATTTACCTCAGCATGCTTAATACATCTTTCACAGATGTAGGTTCCTTTGGGGCTAAGTTCCCCCTCTTGCTTTAATTTTTCAATAAGCTCACTTCTCACTTTTTTTCCTAACTCTAAAAAGGGTCCCTTGTTCAGAGTCCTTGCAAATTGTTGCATGGGTTTTAATGCTACATTTCTTGGGAAATGGCATATCTAAAAAAATTATACAACAATAGAGAATATTTGTAAAAATTCTCTGATTAAAATCTCTCTATATATACATTATACTGTAATGGCCAAGAAAAAAAATCTATGTATTTTGTACTCTAATGATGTGCCGTACAAACGTTTAGCTGCTGTAATTAATTATAACGGGACTTTTCATTGGTTCTGAATGATCATGATCAATAAGAAGCTTTGATTTGTAAAGTATGAAAGTTGTAGAAAGAGCTCACAGGAAAATTTTTCAACATTTAAGAGGTATATTTAAATTATATAGCATTAAGTTGTCAAAATAACAGTACTACTTACTTCTACGTACTTTTCTCTCCCTCCGCTATCGAAATTGCCGCATGAAATGTTGGGCGAATCGCCTTATATAAGTCCAAGGGTGAGTTCGAGATCATCTCCTGATGCTCGTGCAAATGCGCCTTTCTCTTAATTTAATGCAATATTGGCGCGAAGAAAAAAGACCACCATTTGGTCAGTTATGTATGTATACCATTTAGGCTATAGACCACTAAACGGGAGTGGATCAACCAAATGGGGGGGGGTGTGCCCAACCTGACTAGTGTTCATCTAACGAACTATCACGTTACGTGGTTTGACTTGTTATTCTGTGTCTGTCCACCATCACCGAGTCTTGATCACACACACAGCCTCCTTCCGGGCTTTAGTCCAGGAACCTTTCGCTGTGTCACCACGATCAGACGATCCCCTCAGCTTAGTGCATGTACCCAATATCCAGTACCAATATCTTCGACGCTACAATGATGCATATTAATAAGTCACATGTTTCACTACATATGTTTGGCAATACCACTATGTTTGTTTGGCTATTCATGGTCAATATAAAAATAATCAAAAAGTATTAAGTATAATGGTAACCAGTTTAAGCAAGTCAAAAACAATTACTGCCAATATCCACACCTTACTTTCAACTTCCGGTCATTCACTTCCGTCCAGACATTTAAACCAAAATTTTAAATGGACAAAATATTCTACACAAAGTAACAAAACTGAGTACAAGAAAATAGCGAACATTTAACAATGAGAACTTTAAACGTTATCGATATAATACAACAGCCACTCGAACACTCTCGCTAACCGTCACACCTGAGTGAACAACGAGTAAATGGTCAAGCTGGCCAAGTTCAGAAATAGAAAACTAGAAGTATATCAATAATAAATTTGCATAAAAAAAACTATATACAAAGCAAATAATATCATAAGTAATACTTATCACGGACCTGTCTCCGTGCCAGTAAAATATTGCATGCACTGCTGCTATGTACATATACTAGCTGCTTCGAATCAGAAACGTGTCTGCAGCTACGCTTCTCTGCCGGGAATGACCAGGCCTCAATTGTTCTGGTCGGCTAAGCTATTTTGCAAGGACTTATGGGTATAATAAGCATAGGGACAAAACGCGGGAAATACAAATTATATTACAAGTGCAATAGTGATTGTTACAAACTAAATATTGTTTTGAGTTTAATATGTTTTGTTTAAATTATTTGTTGTGAAACATATTTTGTTTTAATTGATAATATGTGAGAAATTATTATTTTGCATTTGTATAGAATGTTTGGTAACACTTGTTCACGTGAAAGGTCGTGATGTTTTACTATTGACCAATCAGATTGTTCAATATAATTGATCATTAGTTACTAATCCAATGAAATTTCATAATTAATAATTCCGTCTTTTTCCGTCATTTTCTGTCTTTGAGTCATATAAAATTTAGACGCTGAGAAATTCTAGTCACTCTTCTGCTTATTTTGATTTGGTAGGTCCGTATTACGGAGCTTGTAGATTTTTGTTAGGATTTTATTTTAACTTTTATTTTTGTCTATCTTTTATTTAAATTAGGAATTTATTTAATTTTTCATTTATTTAGTTAGGATAGGATTTAACCGTGAAGGACATTAAATAGTAAAATACTATTGTCCGTGATCGGTAATTTTTAGAACTTAACAGTCTATGACTGAGTAGTTCTTTTCATTAATTTATTTTTCTAGGATTATTTTATTTTACAATTTTACTCTACATTTATTTAATTTTTATTTTACGGCAAACTACGTAACAAAAGTTATACGTTTGCTATCTTTCTCTTTTATGATGACTAAAGTTGATTAATTCAACGAATGTCAATTTTTATTTTGTTTAGATTCAGTAATTTTATTTTTCTAGATACGTAAATTTTTCTTTCGAATTTTTCATAGAATTTTTCATTAGAGAATTTCGGAATTTAATTTCACTTTACTTTTAACTTAATAAAGATTACCGGACTTATCGTATTTGGCCCGTAGTATTTACAAGCTGAATCCGTTTAATACAGTAAAGCTTGCGTAGGTTTAACAAGTCAGTGTTATAAATGACCACGACTTGTGTCCCGTTTTAATCAAGTGTTTAGGAGTTTAACAAGCTACCTGTTTAATACAGTAAAGCTTGTGTTAAGTTTTACAAGTCAAAGTTATAATTAACTACGGCTTGTTTTCATTATTATTTCTCATTCTCTCCCTCTCTGTTATGAGGTAGATCTACATACTGTAGAAGTGAAAAACATTACGGAAATTTTAATTTCACTATGTTCACGATTTAAGAATTTTCCGCGAACTTTAAACCATCGTTTTTATTACTTCACTTCATATCTTCCTAAAAACAGGCATAGCACCTGAATATTTATGAATGATTCTCTGCGAAATTGAAACTACCGTGAAAGGTAACTTTCTAACAAACCGTGAAATTTTAGACACTTGAAATTTAAGACTTCTACAGTATAAACTTTATAGCAGAGCATATAGACTGGAGACAAAGTCGATCCTTTTCTTTGAAGTCGATATATCCTTGGATTGACTTTATCAAATGACCACATTTTTAATATTAATTTAAGAAACAATGAAAATAGACAATTAAAATAAAGATTGTTTGAAGACTTTCACTTTTATAAACACATCTTTGGAATTTTATAATTTATCATTTGTTTAAATAAAGGCGTTATCTTGCTTTTGCATTTGATATCATCAATTTTTTGATAACAAAAAAACGTTGAGTGTTCTACTTGACTTTATTCGTTATATAATAAATCATATATCAAAACATTTGCGCCACCAGACACACTTATCAGCTATAAAAATCTAGATGGGGAAGTTGAATAACTGAAGTATATTTAGTTTTTTCTTCCTCTTACTGATATTTCCTAACATAGGTCTAAATAAATGACTGAATACTGACTTCAATATGTACATGTATGTATCGTAGTTGACACCTTACAATTTTTAACATATGAGCCAATCTATTCATTGTCTGAATATTTAGCAAACTGGAATATGGTTTTCTGAAATAGATATAAACATGAAATACATGTACATATATACTGTATTAATTGCGTGATTCTTAAACTTTTATATTTAATATGTGTAATGCTGCATTTTCCGGAAAATATAGCATATCTGATAGCATGAAGTAGACCTACCTGAAAGTAAATTTATGATAGGTCCTGGGAATCATTTTTCTTTATACCCACTCAAACAACTTTTAACGCCTACAAAACGGCGACACCATATAAGTAGCTTTAAGTTTAATTCTTAGAGTTATGCAAATACGAGTGGAACATCATAAATTTTGCTGTGAGGCAGATACTTCACTTAAAAAAAAATCATTTTATAGATTTCTATTGAGAGGACACTCATTGATTTGCTTAATATTTACTTATGTTAATATACTAATAAGACGACCTACATGTGTCATCGTTTATAGGATCTTCGTGTTACTTCTCCTGATCAAGACTTTCACATTTACTTTCTAGATGCCAGTTCGTACGGTCCATATTCTTTTCCCGTAAAGCACTGTTAGATTCATCTACTGGCATAAGGTCAAACCTACTTGTGAAGAGTGACGCAGAAGGGAGTTATCACAATCGTTTCTCCACGGGTCTTCATACTGTCCTTGAGTTGAGATTATATGCATTCGTACACTTTCTTTATCCACCAAATAAATATTATTGTCGTTCGTTCCTTGTACTCCAGCCACATTTCCCTCCCTCATACGTATAGCCATAGGGATTCAAATCTTCAGAAGATCCGTTTTGATTACATCGGGTGCTAACTAGATAGTGTTAATGTACTATAACAAGGGTCCTCACAGGATCCATAAAGTGGATCTCCAGACGTATCTTCTCTGCTTAAACCCTGCTTTCTCTGTTTCCTTCTTGGTTTTATATATATTAAGCACATTATGAAAACCATCTTAAAAAATAAAAAGAAATAAAATATCATTTGGAAATATCAAGTAACAAGTTTCTTATTATAATTTTCATCTTTTTCTTTTCTACAGTGCAATAAATTCAATTAAATGATCCCGAATGAGACCTCTAGTTAATAAGCATTTTATTTAAAGGAATTTTGGTTCTGAAATTAATATTGATTTTAAAATGCAAGTTTTGTTATGTTCTTTCATCTCCATTGAAAACAATAATGATTGTATATATCTTCATAAAAACAATTTTGAATTCCATATGACACACTTACGATTCAGTAGGTTTTTAATAACCAACTTGCTTTTATTTCTTTCAACATATTAAACATGTAATTTTTTGTGATTAGTGGACGGTACAATGGACTTTGGTTCTGGTGAGCTTCTAACATTGTATTCTCTTCAGCACTCAACTAGACTAATTTGAATTTATCTATATATTTCTTTTCTTTTTGAAGATGTTGATCACTCCTAAACTTGTCTCAAAGTATGAAAATAATAATTTGAATTTTTTTCATTAAAATCACGTACGTTATTACTCTTATTTGAGAAATGATTACATTCTGATATTTATAATTCTACATAGGAAACAAAATGAAATTGATTTTTTAACTTGAATATTTTGAAGTCTTTACCTATTTCATAATTTTAATCCACATGAGACAAGTTTGCACGATTATGGAAAAATTTTATAAGTGAAAAAAAAATCAATGACATGGACATGTAGAATCTCATCTAGAAGTAATAAGCTACACTGTTATTGGTTTACATTTTCTTGCTAAGAATTGGTGATAAAATAATATTTCATCATTAGCTTAGTGTCCTTCTTCTTCTTTATAATGAATGTTTATAATACATTTATTTATACAATCAGTAGAATATTTTATGCTTTTGGTTTAATGACTGGTTTGTTACTTAGGAAAAATAAATATCTATTTTACCTGCAAGTTATTCCAAAAATGAGGAGCAAGCAGGCAAATAAACACAGATGACATAGACAGATACAGTCAAGACTTTGTTGTAGACAAGGCTGAATGCATTATCTATTAGATTATAAAAGACAACA